GAACAATAGTAATAACAAACAAATATCAACGACAATAATAATAATAATTTCAATAGTTACTATACATAAAAGTAATGAATATAACTTGAAAATCATAAACAGCCAATAACTCGCGAATTTTGAATTGAATTCTTCAAAAAAATTTTCTTCTATTAAAAAACGAAATCTCCAATTCAATAAAACGAACAAACGTTAATTAATATAAAACCAATAATGTATTATTATCATTATTATTATTACTATAAATAATAACACGTCAAAACATAATATGATATTGATATTATTATCATTAGTAAGAATAATAATAATCATAATACAAAAACAGTGATGACTGAATGCAGCAGAGCCAACAACCAATCGATCATAACTAAAAGCATATAACGGCCAAAACGAAAGATTCATTATTCAATTTCCAAACAACAGATAACAAAACAAATCTAAAGAAATACTCATGAAGAAACCCAATCGATCCAATTCATTGATTACGGATACATTGTATTTCAGAGGCGGACAACAGAAAGCTTTCCAGCAGAAATTACACGCGAAGTAAAACGGTGCCGATGATAATAACAGACTGCTGATAAACAAATCCAAACTAAAAAGAGATAATACAACAATCTCCTAGAGCTCCACACGTGTTCTCCCCGTTTCCTTTTCTACATACTCTCGGGCCAGATTACAGCTGAACGTCCAGCTCATTCAGAAGGGATATTTCTTTACTTGGACCACCAATTCACGGATTATGCTTGAAATAAATACCACAATTTATCACAAAATAGAGAAATTACATCAAACATTGTATATAAATTCCCTGACTAATTGCTTATCAACTACCCATAACCAGTTGGACGGTATCATCGAAACACTTCACTGAGAATCTCCCTCTCCACTAATCAGAATCATATTCCACCACGCCTCTGATATCTCAACAAACTAAATCCATCCATCTAGCAGCCTCACTCACGTATTTCCATTTGCGTGCTTGTGTCTCATTGTAAAACAGCATCTATCAAATACCCTAAAACAGAAGAAAGCTGACGGCTGATAATCACATTGTTAAAAGCTTGATTCAACAGAAATGAACAGAGAATAAATAAGCGCTTCAAAACGTTTTAAACACACTTTAAAACATCGTGACAAATTATTTCGAAAATAAACCTTAAAACTGAGAAATTTCACAGAATGACCAATAAACAGGATTAAAACGTGACTGCCGTAGGATTGTTTCGGCTCTTTTAGTGTGATAACAGATCACGATTGTAACACCCTCATAATAATATTACATGCGATAACACCAATGATGATAGCAATGAATGCTCTCATAACATTATATCAATAATAACAAATTTATCATCAGCATCCGACAGTGAACAGTAATAAGAGGAGCTTGAAACTGCAAAACGTGACGGTGGAAGGGTGAGGAGCGTTCACATCGATCGTACGATACACATTCAAAAGAAGATCAGTAACTGAATCAATGGGAGCACAGCAGAGCAGCCGAAAAGAATAAATGGACAACAAAAAACGCTGGGAAGTATACCGTACAATAAAATTCAGTTATAATAATGATAATTTATAATACAACTGCGCAGTGAAAATTCGTATTAAACTGATTTAATCGCATGAATAAAATTCAAAATGAAGATTCATGATACCAATAATAACTTTTAAAAAATAATAATAACAATAATAATAAACCATTATAAGGAGCAAAATGCGGATGACAATATCAAACAAAAAAAGAATTGATCAGATCAAGATCAATAATCAACTTCACTTCATAAAAATTAATAATAATAATAAATTCTCCAAAACCAAAACCAGAACTACACCATCATCACCCACACGCACCCACACCAAAATCAATACTAACATTCATTCTACCTAAATGATCACATTTCTCATTCCCTGTACAATACTAAAGTCACCAACAATTTCCAAACAGATCTACGATAAAGCTTCAAATCAGATCAAATGTACAGATCGTCGCAGCAATTAAGTAAACCTAAATACGGCAGAATCGAGTACGGTTTGATTTTGGGGCGTGAGTGCATGCGAGTTGAGAGTAAGTGCTGTGGTTCAAGCTTGTGTTGGCCTTCAGAAAGATCGATGCTGATCAAATCACTTCAAATGAACGCATTCCTTTTCATCTTCTTTCGACGATCACCTACTCAATTCCAAATCTTTAAGAAACTATCCCACGAGCCCGTGCAAACCGCCATACCATCTTCTGTGACGCCTAAGCACGAAACACGATTATCGTGACCAGCTAATACACCTGAAATGAACAAATTTGAACATACGCCTTAAAAAAAACCTTCAATATACAAAACTGGCTAAAAATCATTTCAAATCCTAAGCACAGTATGTACTGATATTGATAAAATACTGGCAACACCAACCAGCTCTCTCCTGTCGCATAGAATCCCACACGTTGCAGTTGAAATCATCATAACCGGCGAAGAGGAGACGTCCTGACTTTGAGAATGCTACGCTTGTAATACCTGCATAATAAAATCATTTCAATACGTTTGCATTCACCATTCAAACACCGTTTTCGATCAAGCAAAGGATAGAAGTGGCAACGCACCACAAATAATATTATCGTGTGAATACATCGCCAACTCCTGATCGGCACGTATATCGAACAGACGACATGTCGCATCATCGGAGCCAGTTGCGAATGCATACCCAGATGGAAAGTACTGAAAAAATCCGCTTTGAACTGCTCCTCGATGCTTACTATTTATTTCTGTTTAATACACACCGTTTGAGACTGTTTTGGAGGCATGCATTATGTGTTACAGCCTACAATTCTCAACGTTCACCGATCCTTTATAACTCGATTATAATATATAAAGTTACAGCAAATATAAGGATATTGCAATAAAATTTACATGAAGTTACATAATAAATTCAATTTGAATATTGATAAATTAGCGCAGAATACCAACAAACACTAGAAAATTAAAAGCGATAAATAAGCCATTTAAAAGACTCACAGCAACAGCGTTAATATCAGACTCGTGTCCGGGGAATGTCTGTTTGCACATTCCGTCACGAATGTCCCACAACTTTGCGGACGCATCACAAGCACCCGATATGAAGGTACGCATATCGGGCGATAGCGATAAGGACATCACATCACCGGTGTGACCTGTGAATGCTGTACATTGCTGACCGGTTTCGATATCCCATAACGCACTGAAATTATTAACGTTCCAGTGCTTCATCGAGACGAGCACAAATATCGACAATCCAAACTTGTGCAAGTAAACTTTCTTTTGCAAACTTCACCGATTCACTCTTCTATTTCAGTTCCCTTCATCCTCGTTCCATCGGCAAATTCTATGCTTGCGAATTTTCCTACTTTACAAAACGTTTAAAACTGAAGCGAATAGCTCCCCGCTAAAGCGAACAGATTATTGATGACAATCAGCAATAACATTAGATAATATTCATTCACAAATATCCAAAACGATCGACCCAAAATAACGATAGCTTTTTTGCCTTCGCTTCACATCCATTTGCTTTTCATTGTCCACAAATCAGTCTCGATATGGGGCTAATGGTCCTGTATCTTACTTGAACTCAACACAAGATATACCCAATAGTCTCTCATCTCAAGGCATCGTAACATTATATCTCAATTCCTTTCCATTAATTCACCATTTATTTGATTATATCCTTATTCATGCAATCACCCTAACCACTGTTTACTAATACATATCTATCTATCTATCGAATGCTATGCTTTCCCCTCGAGACTATGCATCCAATTTTAGATATGCTACACACCAACAACTGTTCCAAAAATAACTTTCCGCTTCCAGCTAAGATGTCACATCTTCCTTATCTAATGATTATGCTGCTTTCAGTATTTCCTCTTTATGCCCTCCGTTTCCAGCTTGATTATTCGATTCGATTCGCAGATGAAGCTTAATCATACATCTATGCATCATTCAAAAATCAATCTTCATCATCAGCACAACAACAAAATGATGTCATTTCCAATTGTTCCTAAATGGCAAATAAAAAACACAACCGCTGCCATACTCGTTGCCATAGAGCTACGCGCACGGCCGCATGCATGCATAAGTGGATGTTACACATGACAACATTAATGAGGAATAAACTCAATATCCACGCCTAAAAGATCACCCATTCCCGCTTCCAAACACGTAAATCTGTATCCATTTCTATTATTCACATATCATATCTTTCCAAGAGCATAATCTCGAACCATTTTGCATATTCAATCCATTCATGCAATTTCCACACGGATGGATATATCACACCCATCCACTGTGTTCATATACCCACTAACCGAGCACATTAACAAACAGATAAATGTTCACTGATAGCAAAGAAGATGCTATAAATAAACTGCAAACAAATCCCATCCCATCCCATTTATCTATCCTGTCCATTATTTATCTGAATGATTCAATAGGCAACTGAATGAATAAGAAGAAGCGAAGCACCCGTGATGACGTCAATCCCAAACTAAATATATCATTTATTTGCGTCCGCCGACGTCGATGAGCATTTGCTAAATTTAAATCCTCTCTCGTATCTTTCTTCTCGTTTCTTTATTACCCCATTGTCGTACTTGATATAATAATCATATACCGTCACTCAATGCTACTTACTACTGCTATTATTCGTATACACCGAGATACATATAAAGGAATAAGCTCGATGAATTGATCATGTCCATATATTTCAATATCAACAACGATAACATTCAATTCACCCTGCACCACAACATGTCCTTAAGGAAAACACTGGAATCATCGATAACAACTACGTTAAACGTAAATAACACCTCAAGCCTTAACCATATGCTTTTGCATTTTATTACATCGCAAAAAACAACACCTTTTTCTGCAAACAAATACGCGCTGCAAAGATAAAACTATTCTATGTGCATTCGTTTCATATCGATCCATTAAAACATCAAAATCATATGAAAACGAAACAACATGATCAAATAGTACATATTTACGCTAACATTTAAGCATTCACTTATCGAATTATGTTCCTACGAACAAGAATTCAGGAGAACGATATAATTGCAGATGATTTTGAGCAGTTAACTGCATAAAAATATGCAAAAACAAAATGACAATAAAAGCAAACACTAACCAAGTCATATCACCACTGGATGTAACAATTTGATTGTCGTCTAAGAACCTACAACACGACAGGTAACCAGTATGTCCAGGCAGTTCACGTGATACTCTAACGTTTCCCTCACGCGTCTTCAACGAATAGATACTGCATATGTTATCTAAGCCACCGCAGGCCACATACGATCCGCTTGGTGCATATGCACAAGTCATTACCCATGAGGACCGTAACGGTATTGCGTGCACCTGCAAGCAATACCTCATTTCATAGAAACGCACTCATCTTTTCACTTTATCTACCAGACAAGCTAATCCCTTCGAATATGAGTATTTTTCCTTGTAAACTCACAATCAGCTCTTCATCATTCCAATTTTCCTTCCAACGATGAGCACAANCATCCAGTCTAAATCTTACCAAATAACCTCCCGACCCCACAACTACATTCCACACAAATCCACAAGCAACAATATGCTTTTTCTGAACAACACGATCGTCTTTGTGCATACGAAGCACCTATTACCTTACGATATACACGCAATCATGTATTTACTATATAATATCCGTAGACTGTCACTTCTTATTGTACAAAGAAAGATACAATGTACATTTATCCATACATGTTTCGTTATCATAATAAACAAGTCGATCGTCTGCACTCGATCAAGATCGATAACCATTTGTAAGAGTATCATGTAATCGATAATCATGTCTTCGGATCGAAGTTGCCACTAGCAATGTTCATTATGAAGGTGGTAATACGATCGGGAAGTGAGTGCTTCGAGGTGGCAGCTATTCGTTAGAAGGACACTGATGATAGGACAGGCAGCAGCCGTTAGGGAGTGAAGTGACACAGTTCAGTTGCCCGGTAACGACCACAGAGTCGATACCACAACTCACTACATGTTCACACCCGAAGACGCACTCATAATACATCCATCTATCATCCATATCGAAGATCTAATCTAATACGATCCCATAAAAACAGCAATAAGCCGTTCCACTACCATAATGAATTTACTGGATGGGTGGGTGGCTGGCTGGCTGAATCAACGGTTTCGTATTCAGTTACTTAATTAACCCATAAAAAGCGGCACCCTCCGATATGCAAATAACTACTTAAGCAGTCCATTAAAACAATAATATCACCTACCTAGAAACATACGCTTTTTATTTCCTCAACATCACACAACAATAACACCTATTCACTGAAAATCCTAATGTTACGTTCATTCAAAATTTGCATCTTACAATCAGAATCATTCATACTGCCGCCTTGTTAAATTCAAAATCGCGAGTCTAGAAAACGCTTTTCCAACTCCCTGCCGTTTACGGTACTAAAATATACCGGGACTTTATTTTTGCATTGTTGGTATTACTCAATGTCGTAACATTTCCTACAGACCTCATTGCGTACCTGTTTCTGGCAAACTCAACCCCATTCACCTAATGACTTCTCGCTTGCATCCTTCACGCCTTCCTATTCCTTCATACGATGAGATTACTTATTATCTCCGCGCTACTGATTGCTCGATTATTTATCCGTGCATCATCCATCTATGCACAATTCAATAAATGCTCTTCCTTAGCACAATCTCCTCATGTCATATTCAACACTAATAAGCATGCACATCTCTACACTCCCCTCTCTTAAATCACAGCCAATTATTATATTTCATGTCCAACTACATAAATATTGCATAAACTCCTCGTTGAATAGCTGCTTGCATGGCTGCACTGCATATGCACATATATTTACACACTCAATTGCATGTGAACATAACATATTCCTCACTATAATATCATGCTCTCGTACATTCACATTATTCATAAATGAATAAATTTTAAACAATTCAGAAATAAATCAAAAAACAGAGCAATGTGAAGAATCATTTATTGAAAATCTCCTCAATAACTGCAACAAAAAATGTCGAAGAGCGAGTGCACCATACCTTATTGGTGGTATATGAGTCCCATACGATAAGTTTTCCATCTTGTGAGGCGGATACAAGATTTCTAGAATCGGATGCCCAGTGCATGGCGTAAATTTTGGCAAGATGACCACGCAGTGTTCGCCGCGTTCGCATCTGAATCCGTCCGATCGGCTCAAGATTGGCCGCCACTGACGCAAGTGTCGTATCATTGGCTGCTTTACGGGCTTCCTGAAAGAAACCGATCAAAATACTGATCACACTGGTCATGATCATGGACTATTCAAAATAGAAAACAGCAGCTTATCACTCAGAATAATCATTCGAGCGTAAAGCAGATAGCTGACATTTTTCAAAGAAATTTTCAAAGAAATGATACTGATGCATACGATGACAATACCGATTAAATTCGATAATATGCATCTGAAATTGATAACAATAAAACAAAACAAAAAAACCAAAACCAATGCATAACTGAAATCAACGCATGCGACAACGATCAATCAATGTGAGACAATCACTGAATCATCAACAAATCCCCCCCCAAAAAAATGCTATTCCCCCTCCGCCAACAACGAAAGTTCTCATCCTTCGACAACACAATTGCAGTTTACAGTTTTTGTATTATGCTTACGACTACTGCAAAAGAGGCACTTTCCAAACAAACTAGTTAAAAGTGCGTTTTGCTTAAAAATAGATCAGCTAAATAATAAAATGCTCTACTGGAATAATAGTGATGCATATGAATAGAACACTCGTGTTACCATTTCTACTTTTACAATTCATTGTGCAGTTATTTTTTTAGTACAACACTAGAGACGATCCATTCAACCAGACAGAACCTTAATTGTCACTTTTCACCTGTTTTCAGCTGCCTGTGAGGCGATACTCAATTCGGGAACAAACATTTCTTCTTCACTTATTCACATAAAACAATTACTTCTGTCAAAGCAGTCAAAAGAATGTGTACCCTCTTCGCCCCATAAGTATACCCACGCAAATCAATTCAACCAAAACACATGATCCTCTTTCTGTATTAGACTAACTGTATAGACACTTTCTATGTTATAGAGAAACGATGATGAGAAATGACATCTGTGTGCAAGCAACTATGAACGACAAAATTTATGCGTGCTTCAGCGGTACACTTCCATCCATCTCACCAACTCGCATTACTCACCACCACCATCAGCACATCACCCAAAATTCATTCCCAAGCTTTCATAAAGACAAACATTCAGTCGTCCTTCTTATCCATGCTACTCTTACGATGCTTTTGTTCGTGTATCTGGCTGATTATGTTCTATATGACCTTTTCTACATAGATGCAGTGAAATAGCCTGTCACCACATATTCATCTCTAGATTCACAAGAACACAATGTTCTTCATTCCACAGCTCAGCTCATGCTGCTAGAGCTTGCCGGAAGGCACCAGCTAGAAACCACATAACAGAAGATGATACAAAAGGATGACATAATGTAGATCAGACCATTATCATGAGTGTCCAGAAAAAGCAATGTGCAAAAGAACAGTCTCTATGTTCTGTTCATCTCTCTGCTTCAATATCATTGGCACCATCTATCTGCTGCTCTTCTCAGATCATAAACGCCAAAGAAACAAACGAACAGAACAAAACATGAAAAGAAAAGAGGAAATGCAACGATGTTATGTTCATCCGGAAAATATGACGTCGATCAATAAATGAGCGAATGAATGGATTNGATTCTCTGATGAATGAAAAACGATAACGATACCCAGAACCAACTCAATAATCCATTACGTTTTCACATATAAGTATGTCTATATCGTATGTTCTGTATGCCAGTTGATCAGCAGCACCACATATCTTGCTCACATACAGATGCTGCTATATCATCTAAAGATGCTATCTTATCCTGTCCGTAAGAGCTTTCATTCATTCATACATTAAATAATTCTCGATGCATGATAGTTGTTTGCTATAAGAAAACATTGCATTCATATCATTCATCCACTTCTCTCACATCGCTTCATTTCCAACAACCATCTAAAAAACATATGGATGGGTGGATCATTCACGTTCTGTGCCACAAGCACTAACCACAAGCACTTGAGGATAAGTCATATAGAAAGAAGTCAGCCACAGAAAGACATAGATAGATGATGCAAGGTACAAGAGGTGAGACGAAAAAACATTATGATGAGTCAAAGCAGCAAGGAGATCCAATCCATCAGATGAAGAATCCAGAAGCCAGCAAGCCGACAAGCGAACACGCAAAACACAACAGATGCTCAGTTCATCGTATTGATTGATCCAATAGTTCCTTTAACCCTTCTCCCTTGCTGTAAGCTGTTTGAAAACAGCCAAAGCCAAATGTTTCGTTTCGTTCACTTCTTCACTTCACTTGCACACAGCATATAATATCATCATATAAAAAGATCTACAGCCACATAAACCAGCAACTCATCAATTCAGCTCATTTCGTCTGCACTCATCCATTCACATTCACATCAAACCACATCTAAAATTGTTCTAGCTCAAACCCTCAGCCACTCTATTATACATCATCCATTCTAGCCGCTCTTCATTCAATCTTCTCAGCGTCATGCAAACAGACCAAAAAAAAATTAATCGACCCAGTCCAATCCGATTCAATCCACACACACACATATTATATTCCTTAACCAGTACAAAATTCATGCAGACACCTACACACCAGTCAGTATACTGCAAATCCTTTTCGATTTCGTCGCAAAATTCATTCTTTTCCCGGTGGAACGAATCTCACATTTGTCAATTAACGAAACAATTAATTTGATTAGATGCTTATCGGTAATACTTCATTTCGAATCTTAAAACCCAATTTCCGTCGAAACTCGACTCATCAATAACGATACTCTATCCTCGCTTAATTCCATCCCAGTACCAATCCCATCAATTCAATCTCATTACTTTTCAAGACATTCATTTGAAATAAATCCTCCACCTTATCCTCCCCTTCTTTCATAAGCCTGAATTACACAAGTTCAGGATTAACTAGTCATTGTCCTTACTTCACTTTAAGCAATACTCATACTTGCACTTTCAAGTACTTAGTAATTAATACCTACCTCAATTATCACCATCATCGACAAAACCCAATGCTGCCATCAAAATCTGCATACAATCATACCTATCTGATATCTTTAACCACGCGTCAACTATTAGCTTTCTCGAACATATGGAGTCTATAAAATGAATGAAACCTATCAGCCTATTAGTATATTCTGAAAAGAATTTTGCAGATCAGAGTCGCTAATCACATTCATGCTTGCTTATCACAGATATGCTTGCTTGCATGTTCAATTCATTCAAGCACTCGTCATTTTCCATGCAGTTATTGAATAATTCCCGTTTGCGTTCCCAACATCCCCTTGAATATCGTTTTCTATGCATCCATTTAACAGCAGCATCATCTATGTACCTATCTCAAGATCGACATCTATATTCCATTAGATGACGTTATTGCAATAGTAGAAATGGCGAAAGCTTAACGTTTTTCTACTGAACGCTACGCATTTCACATATAGAAGCACAGAGATAGAGATCAATGCAGCTTAACCACTCTCGGTTTCATGCCTTCACTCGAACGAAACGAGAAAGACTCGAAAATGGTGATGCAATGGAACAAAATATGGAATGAAATGACAATTCCGCCGGTCGAACAAACACTGAATAATTGCCTGCTTTTGCTACCCAAACCAAGCATGCGTGTATCTAAACCACTAGATGCACCACCACATACCATCCAAGCACCAATACCACATATCAATGAAACACATACAATACGCACACTTCTGCCATTTCACATAAAATACTATTATTTAATTTCAAGTTGTTTTGTTAAAACTCAAATTCACAATACTGAATACTGCATCCTTCACACACGCTAAAAATAGATCACATTTCCATGTCGATCACCTTCAATTTTGCACACGTTCACTTCACTTTATACTTCATAATGCAGATGTTTCCTTTGATGTCAACACTCTCATATTGCTACTCTCTCACCTAAACGACCAGAAATAAACACATATTTCTAGGTTATCAACGTTCCATGAAAATCTTACGCATTCGATGTCATTTTAGGCTCAATGAGAGCTCTACTCATAAACCATCAGCTGAATGGCCACTTAAATTACTTACGAATATGCTGATAATGATGACAAACAAGCCTCGAATATCGATGATAACAAACAATATCAACACAGCACAAACTACACACACTTATCCACCCGATAAATACATAAAAACACATAAATTTCCATATAACAACACTTCTAATCCATTATCAAACTAATCTACGAGGGCATATCAAAAGTATGAAGTAAATAGGCACATAATGACGTATCGAAATGACGTATTACTCTAACCTTGACAAATTGAATTCGTTCAGCTCATTCCCAGTTTTTAACTTGCAATATTGTGTGCACTTACGTAATTGCTAGCACTTAATGAGGCTGTGTGTGTGCGTGCTGACGATGGTTATAAAAGACATCATTTTTTAGATCAGATCACAAATATCATTCGTTCGCTTTTTGCAAAATAATGAAATCGACTTAGACGATCGACGATCATCAGCAATTAGTCTATTTATAGCACAATTTCTTCGTATTTCGCTTCGCCTCCATCAGAAATGACATCAGATCTTCACAGTTTTTAAGGAACTAGTAAGATTTGCTGCAGTGTTACGCCCCTTAGAATTGATTCGGATTCGATTCAGAGCTTTCATTCATCATACTCTGATTGCGAGCTTTGAGATTTTGCTCGATGATTACATTCTTGCAGAAAGCGAAAACGAACGAAAGCAATGCAATATATTATTGATAAGAACAGATCTGGAATTCCGTGGCTATCTGATCAAAAGAATTTTTGGACAAAACACGGCACGGCACACAAACGACAGACAATTCTCAAGAAGAATGGTGTTGGTGGCATTCAGATTATAAAAAGCAAAGACAGAAATAAGTAAGTGTTCGATTTGAATCACCACTGACGAATATCGAAATAAAAACCAGCAAAAACTGATAGCACAATAAGACAGAAGACGACTGCTCACAGAAATGTTCAACTGAATGACAGCACTATCGAGGCTCGACATTTCTCCGAAATTCAATCAACATATTCATCTATATCACAAAACATGCAATATCACGAGAATCACTCAACATGATCGCAAGCCACAATGAACCAAATTAACCACATCAGAACATACAGCAACGAATGCGACATCCTCACATTATCGCACACATTGCAAAGTTCACATCCATCCATCGTTTCTATCTCAATTTTCCGTATACAGCGAAATTGGATGCGCATTGAACCAGTTCCGTGTTTCAGAGCATAAAATGGTAAAACAGGTCGAATCATGATACCATTTATGGGCAAAGAATGAAATGCGAATCATCCGAAATCAGGATAATCCCCAAAAAATTCCTTCCGAAATAGATGTGTGCTTTTTCAATCTTTCGACAGCAGATCAGCTGACACTGCAGCACTAAATGATGCACAGATCTAATGACTACCGCCTAAAGCTGTGCTAATTCCTATATGTCTGATCAAATCAGTCAGTGAATTATGCCATCAATACCGTCATTATACTCGCTAATAATAGACAAGTGCACAGTAATTATTACTTTAACTCATCTAGCTTTGAGATGCCGCAGGTAACATACCGCAAAGAACAAGCACGAGAGGTGAACAATACCAGCAAAGACTACTATAATACAACGAGTAATCAACAGCACCCCACACTCATGTAAATTAACCAATAAAGATCCCACTGTTGTCTGCCGAAACGGTACCAATTATAAAACTACCTATATATACCTATATAAAATCTAAAATCAGTTGCACTTAGGGCACCGATACACAAAACCAAACAAAAAATGACAAAATAAATACGCTCTTGTATTTATCATCTCCCGTATTTTGTTACAAAATTTCAGCTAAATCTTTCACCTAAATCAATACTACCAAATCCTTTCCTCGTCGACTTTATCAGACTTGTTTTCAATAAGGAACGCTTAAACAGACAGACAACTATCAGCACTGTAACCGACCGAATGCATCACAACGAAAAATTACGCTTCCCCAAAAACGGATGAATGAAGAACACCAACAGTAGAAAACCCGAAAATTATTTATTCGTGTACTGTTTCGACTCACCAATCAGAAGAAGAAAAGACCATCTCATACCCCAACAATGATTTATTACTGAACCTGCTCTGCACTCCCACTCGCTCCAACACCACCCACTAAATTTTGCACTATTCCTCAACTGTACAACAAAATTGTTTGCGAAAACACCCTGTTTTGATCACCATTATGTACAAATGCCACCATACAAAATGTACTCTTAAATGCGTACGCAAACATATACCCGTATTATGCTCTGCTGAACAGAACAAATTTCATTGAATGAATTAATATTGATTACACGCATTCCAAGCAATTTCCGTTACTTGCTGATAACAGATTATTCTTCGATTCCAGCAAAACCCACTAACTCCTCAGAAAATGTCTGCAGCAGGTTATATCCTCAACATGCACTTCCTACACGAACCTTTTCAGCATTTCCAACCGTTTCCTTCGTTCGCACCTTCTACCACAAATCATCCTTTTTTTCGTATTAATCATGATCATCCCACATTACTATTGAATCAGTAATATCAAACAGAAAAACTTCAAGGACTCACTCCATTTGCAAAATGCGACTATCATTCAAAAATTAATCATAATTTTCACAAATTGGCCGTATTATCCAACGAACTGGCAATTAACATTTTTGATATCGGATTACTCTCGTCTCATAATGAAATAAATTCAGCGCAACGTTCACAGACAATTAATCGTTTCCTCATCAAAATCTCATCGAAGAAAGCGCATCAACAGCAATCAAGTAGTTGACGTCTAAATAAGATGAAATAAACGCGCACCAATTCAATGAATAACGACAATAATTGACTGAATTATAATGGATCAACTGAACGACGAATGCTTCATTTCGACTACTTCACAGTTACTTCTCAACATCAAATCAAACCTGCTAACCAATAGCCAAGAATAAATGAAACGAAAAGCGAACCAAACCGAAACAAAACCAAACGAAACGCAATCATAATAAACACGAAGCTATATCATCATCACCGAATGCAAAGCAAAGAATAAATCCACATGAAGAGAAAACGAAAAAATAAATAACTGCGTCGTCGCCTCAAAAAACAGAAAAACACAATCGATTATTCTTCGATCTTCTTCCCTCGAACAAAACGATAATTTTTTCAAATTACTAATAATACTGAGCATTTGCTTCGCTCACTCATCAGTCCAAGTCTATTTTTGCAACCGATCCTCAACACAATGAATAAAGACAGATGATAGCACCAACTGCAGCATATGCGATGACGTGCATCGACTCACACTGCTGACGTATAAATTACAATAATGCCGAGAATATCGAACGAAACTTCAGCTAAGATCACTTATTTTCACCCGGCGACTGCTCACTGTTAAATTATCATCATGAACCAAACGATATATACCTATATATATCCCCATCGCTCTCATAAATTCATATTCCCAT